CTGATTTTCAGTCCTAATAATATATGAACCCATATAATGTGTACTTATTTGGCGTCCAATTTATGTGTCTACGGCGCTCGAAAATATTTTTCAGCTGTGAATATGTCAGACGCCATATATATGAGCCCCACGGGTATTGGTTCCAGGAATCTAGATTTTTAACTAGATACAAAATCTAGTGTTGGATATTGTGGTTCTTCTTTCGTCCCAGAAAAAACGTATGGAGCATGATTACGAGGCAGACACACACCGCATCATCGTCTGATATATTTCTATTATTTAAGTCGGACAACTTATTTTGAAAATGCTCGACTTTAATATTATAAAGATTTTTATCAAACAATATTGTAATAATATTCGGTATGGTAAAATGTGATGGGCGAAGATCCGGCCCAAATCTTAAACCCGTGATCAAACAAAACTCATATATGTTGAACCGTAAATGGAACCCTCCAACCCGATAATATATTTCTTCAGACTCAGAAGGGAAAGAGGGGTCATCACATTACACTATCCAATTAATTAATGAGAAGTATGAATAATGGTTACATATATTTAACCATTGGGTCGAAACATGTATTTCATAACATGGTTAACCTCATTTCATTATTTGATAATGCTTCATTTATTTCTCTAATTATTGAGGTTTGGACCCTCAAAGTCGGTAAAGACCGGTAGAACACCTGGAAAAAAATAAAAAATAAATCAATTTTTATAATATATACATACATACATATATATAGATACAAATAGAAATTTATATATACATAGGTACATACATATATATATATACACATATACATACATAGGGAAGGGTTCAAACGAGAACCCCTGTGATTTACGAGAACGCAAGAACAACTCAATAACCTCATATTGTGATAAAAAATAAAATTACAAGATTTTTAAAATTAAAATTGAAATTTAAAAAGATTCAAAAAATTTTAAAATTAAAAGGGTAATAATGAAAATGATATCATCAAATCTTTTAAACAMGATCATTATCTTTTAAACACTCATTATTATCATTAGTCTTATCATTATCTAGTAAAACGGTTACGAAAKAGGTTAKGATTATACTAGGTGTAATAAWCATGTGATATGAGTGTGATAATYATGTGATAGGGGTGTGATAATCACCATTATACATCACTTGGGTTATCGTTTTGGTTAATAAGTTAAAATTTTGGTGTAATCATGTGATAGGGATGTGATAATCATGTGATATGAGTGTGATACTTATGTGATAGGAGTGTGATAATCACCATTATACATCACTTGGGTTAACGTTTTGGTTGATAAGTTAAAATTTTGGTGTCATCATATGATTTGGGTGTGATAATCATGTGATAAGGGTGTGATAATCACTGTTATACATCACTTGGGTTATCGTTTTGGTTGAYAAGTTAAAATTTTGGTGTAATCATATAATATGAGTGTGATAATCATATGATATGAGTGTGTTACTTATGTGATAGAGGTGTGATATGAAGAAAAGATGTTAACGAGAAGAAGAAGCAGATAACTACCAAGAGTAAAACGTGGAACGTGAAAAGATAATTATGGTTAATTAAAATAAAATAAAAATTACTTAATTACATTATTGTCCTTATTAAATTTTTAATATATAATAAAAGTTAATTTATTAATTAAAAAAGTTTGAGATTATTGGGTTGTTCTCGCGTTCTCGTAAATCACAGGGGTTCTCGTTTGAACCTCCACCTACATACATATAAATATATATACATGCATATATTATATATATACATACATACATATACATACATACATTTCGTACAAACACCATATATATTTACATACATACATATCTATACAAACCGAATATATATATATTCAAAAAATTGGGAAATTTTACCGGTTGTTCCATAGTGCTAGGTGATTGTTCTATGATTGGGGTGGCGGCAAACGGTGGTCGGTGGCGGCACACGGTGGTTGGTGGCGGCAAACGGTGGTGGATGGTGGAGGAAGGTGGTCAGTGGCGGCGGAAGGTGGTGGATGGCGGCGATGGACGGTGGTAGTTGGAGGCGAAAGGTGGTCGGTGTCGTCAAACTGTGGTGGATGACGGTGGACAGTGAATGGTGGTCATCAGTGAGCGGTGATCAATGGATAACCATGATTAAAGGAGTCAATGCTCGGTTTTTCTAGAGGTGGATGTCGGTGGGGATGGTGATAAAGGTTCTCCCGACCGCCTATTTATATAAACCGTTACGTAATAAGACAAAATACATAATCAAATCGGCGCCAAATCATAGACACTAAAAGACGAAATAGCAGTCAAACTACGTAAATCAGATATAATATCTGATTTTTGTCCCCCAAATCAGATACAAACAATTTTTTTCGTGTCCGCAATTATTATAGAATATCAACATTTAGTGTAGTAAAAAAATATTTCTTATAAGAAAAGATAACAACATTCGTTGGTTAATTTATGTTTTTTTTTTAAAAGTGGTTAAAATTATAAATTTTCACGTACAATCATATTTTTTAAGGGTTGTCACAGTAGATTGTGTTTACAGGTTATGAGAGTAGAAGTGTTTTATTTTATAAACTAAAACCATAACATTTGGTTCTAAACGGTAAAAAAAAAACAATTTTAAATCATCTTCTATTTATTGAAAACACTCATTAATCAGTATACACTAAAAGACAAAATAGTGGTAAAGAAAAAGCATGGATCGCCCCCGAGGTAGATCCAGTGAGGTGGGGGGCGATCCTCATTATCGAGACAAACAATATTTGGTTTCCTAAAGTAGATGCATGTGGGTCCCACAAAATTAATTTTTTATTATTTTATTTCCTACTATTTGGTCAAACTTGTATGGATCGCCGCCCATGGTCAAACCATGCCCCCAGGGGAGATTTATTAAATTATTTTGGCAATTTTGATAAAAGTTGGTTATTTCGTTAATACATCAGGTATATTTTAATCGTTTTGATGATTTTCCCTTCATTTAATCCCCCGTCTCTCTCTATACATATATATATATATATATACACACACATATACATAGAACTTGGTTATTATACAACCCTTGACATTTGTGCAACCAATACAACCCAATCTCAACCGTCCATTTTATTTGATTAATATGTGATTTCAGATAAGTTTTGATTGTTTTCTAATATAAAGTATTGATCATAAATTAATGAACCATATTCGTGTTACATAAATATTCATAATAAATGAACTCTTATCATTTCCATAAATATCTCAATTTATTGGGTTGCATTGGTTGTACAAATGCGATGGTTGTATTTGAAACAATATATATATATATATATATATATATAGATTTTGGATCATGTGAGACCAGACTGTTTTCGTGAGACCCGTGAGACCAACATTTTACACTTGAAACTTCACAGCAAAATGCTGTGAAGGT